CCCCAAAACCCCAAAACCCCAAAACCCCAAAACCCCAGGTTATAAGTATTTTAGTGAACGTGACTCTGAAAATTATATATAAAATAGGGTTATGGAAAGATCGATTTCATGCCTGTATCTATCTCATAACAACTCGAAGGGTAATGGATGGGTAGAGCTAAACTAAAAGAGCCAGATTTTGCCTGTCAAAATGATCAGACCCACTTAAGAACAAATATTTTCACTTGAAAAATAGCATGATCAACATTCTTAATTCCAAAGTAATTAAAATTTCTATGATCAGGAGGTCTAAATTCTTGACTTCCATATGCTGGGATAAATTCTGTTTACACCTGAAGTTAGGAAACTATGATAACTCTGAGACATATTCACAAGTATTTGCTCGTGTTTCCAGCTACTTCTCCAATTAGAATTAGTTTGTGGCCTGAATAGTTACAAATATGTTAAAAACTGGAGATTTAGGATCAGTATCAGAAAACTTTAGCTTTAATTTTATCCAAATTTTAGCCAAGATTTTTAGAAAGCATTTGAAAAAGACCTCCTTTTGCAGAGACTTATCCTAAAGCTTATTTCATAACATAATACTGTATTATTTCCCAGTTTCTGCCTACTTTGATAGCCAGAGTTATTCGGAAAGAGTGTATCCCATAAAAAGACTCAGAGAAAGTTTCCCTCAAAATATTCCAAAGACTTGTTTTAAGCACTAAAACTTGGAGAATTTTTCTCAAAGAATGGTTAAAAATAAATCTAATCATAAGTATCATTAAGAACTGAAATCATTAAGAGAGAGTAGCTAGTTTGATCATTTTTCATTAGATGTAGATTACAGTGACGTCTTTTGATCATGTTGATCGAAATTAAATAAGTATTTTCCAGACACTCGATATCTAGCAGATCGTGTCAGATGACACTGGAAAATAGTACTCAAATTTGCATGTTCACTTCTTATATTGCCTTAAGTTGGGAGTACAGACTTAAGACTCAATTGAGCATCATTTCTCTTTTGCCAGAAATTAAAGAAACAGCGATTTTTCTTAAGGAATAGATACCTTTGAGAAGATATACAAAGCATCCTTGGGCTAAGTTTCCTCGAGAAACATATTTAAGAAATTTAAGGATTAATTAATAATTAATTTTTAAAAATCCAAATAAAATGATCAGCAGTAAGTTCATTCTAGGTCAAAGTTCTTGAAATTGGATTATGAATCTATAACTTGAAGCACCCCTGATTCATCCTCCTTAATGCTTTGACATTTTTCAATTACATTCACTGCTTAAGTAACTGTTAAATTTTCTTGACTTACTCAGCCTCTTTGATGCTTCAACATGCAGTGAGGTAAAGCTTCAGTTTGGCATTCCCTACATTATGAGAAGATATTGGTATCCTAAACTTAACTATTCCTTCTGAAGGAGCTTCAGAGGTAAAGTTGAGAGACATAGTATTATTTCTGTTGACAGTCTTAAATAAAAATATTTTGAGTTTTACTATCATCCAAAATTTCTTGTTAAAAACCAACACAAAATATCTTTTTGAGGAGTTTAAAATTTAATTGAATAACAGCTGTAGATTATTTTGGTTTTAGATAGCTTTGTGGATCCTGTGGACTACACTATTTATTGTCAAGTGCATTAGTCCTGGTCTTCTAAGATTCATCTCTAAAATCTTTACTTAATTTGTATGACTTCTAAAATTCTTGTTTTAGACAACACCTCAGTCTCAGCTGTCAAAGTTAGACCACCAAACTTCGAAAAAGAACAGCTTGCAGTGTTAATGAACTGGTTGGAAACTAACGAAGAGCACCCATATCCCTCAAAAGAAGACTTAAACAATATGACTGAATCCACAGGGCTGCTTAGAAAGCAGGTCCACTTATGGTGAACAAACGTTCGGAGAGTAACCAAGCAATCTAATTTTTAGAGAAATATGTGAGTAAGGACTCAAGATGATGGAACAAAGATACTTACAAAGCTTCCTGCTGGAAACAAAAGGTAAAGTCTAATACTTCTTCTCAGCAAATATTGATCCTGGTATTTTAGATCGAGAAAGAAGGTTGATAAAGCTCAGAAAGAGACTGAAGAAAATGATCTAAAGTGAGTATCGGTTAAAAGGATATCCATTTAATTCATGAATTTTAATTGTTAACTTTTCATTAGAGTTCATGTTGCTCCGAAGCCTCAGTATGAAACACCAGCTGAGATCTTAACAAAACCAGAGACTGAGAAAGATACTACAGTTGCCTTAAAGCTTCGTAAGCATTTTAATTAGTTTTCTGCAACAATCTGTTCTGTTCTTTTAACAAAAATCTTTTTGGCATTGACTTCTGGAAATGAAGAATCCTAATTTTAATCTACAGCCTCGTTGATAAAACTAGGATTGGTTAATGGCTTCCAGCCGTTTAGAAAAAATTCAGATGAATGCTGCGTCCTCTTAGGTGATCACAAGGAAGAAGCTTCCGATTCAGAAGATGAATGGTCTACCTGGTGGCATTCTTAAGCTATTTAAACCAATAAGAAAATAATAATATTTCCAAATTTCAATAACCATTCTCTCAAAAGGGGTTTTGGGGTTTTGGGGTTTTGGGGTTTTGGGG